TGGTGTAGGAATATCACGTTAAATATCAACAATCGTGTGTCTGATTTAGGAATAGCTTGGTCAATATCTACTACTTTATACTATAGGTCGGTGTCCTAGTGCGTCTAACCCTATCTCCTAATTTATAGTTTATGAAGTGCCACACATTACAAGCCCATCAAATATAGGTATGTCTTACACATGGCAATCTGTAAACCAGACATGAGCAACTATGTGCTACCGCTGCTTGCATGACCTGGCGCCGTCCTATCTCAAAGCGTGCTCATCTGATAGTGGCAAACTCTCGATACCACGTGTTCGCCTTGAGACTTACTTACTTGACTTGCTGGTCCAAAAATCTGGAACACACTCCCTGTCAATCTCAGGAACAGCCAGGCACTGGAGTCTTTCAAAACCTATTTCGATAACACCTGTTGGGGTGACGTTGTCTGCCATCTTTTCCAGCTAGCGATTATCCTCTAGATGTAAAGTGGCCTGTGTTGTTTATGGTTGCCAGGGGTGAAAAACTTAGATTGGGTATTCTCGTATGTAGTTTTTATAATGTTGCGTTTTGTATCTCAATATGATAAAATAGAGATTTTTTAATTTCTCTTTTAATATGGCTGACTTTGTACCACGCTCGGAGCCTTTGGAGAAAAAGCGTGATTTTCAAATAAGATTTATTACTATTATTATTGTGAGTGTCTATACATGACAAGCCCGTATTACGCGTATGTGACAATACCTGCAGCTCTTTCACATAGATGGATTCTGCTCCGCAATTGCTCACAATCCACACCGCCATCTTGGTTTTCCTGGCAGCTATTTCTTCTGTCAAGCGAAGATATGAAAAATACATCTGTGACGTTGCTGTTAATAGAGTCTTAACAGAAGATGTAAGTTCACGGGTGTTTCAATGTATAGAGTTTAAGTTACATCAGTAACTATGAGCAGACGACTCACTATGGTTGGATCACTAGTTTTTAAGTTGGTACAGTAGCTACAAGCAGACGACTCACCATAGTTGGATCACTCGTGTTTAAGTTGGGTCAGCAAGTTCACGCAGACGACTCACCATAGTTGGATCACTCGTGTTTAAGTTTTTTCAATTGTGAAAGTCAGGTTGTTGGAGTTGGGTTGCTGGAGCTGGGTTGGTGGAGTTGGGTTGTTGAAGTTGGTTTGGTGGTGTTCGGTCGTTGAAGTCGGTTTTTTAGAGTTAATTTGGTAAATTTGGGTTGTGGAGTAGTGGATGGACGAGTGAGAGATATGCATTTCGTTTGCAGGAAGTTGGGCCGTGGCGCAGATTTCTTCGGATGAAACCTAGGGTTGAGTTGGCTTTTTAAAAATTTTTTAGGTTATTTGATGCTTAAATGTTTTCGATGTCATTAAATAATTTTTTAAAACTGTTTTCACAATTTTTTGGTGTTTTTTTTTTTTTTAATCAAATGAAAACAATTTATTTTTAAAATGATTAATTTATTAAGAATTATTCCACCAAACTACAACGTGTTATTAAATTTATATAGTCAGATAAGCATTTTATGTAAATCTAAAATGAACGCCAAACGGACGAGTTCTCCAATGCTATAAATAGACTTTGAGTTCTCCGCATAGTTGCTGCAGTGATGAGATCAACTAAAGCTATACAATTTGGGGTTTTGGAAGTACTTGGCATTGAGGACATAGATTAGCAAGCCTGCAAAACTCAACATGTAAGGTGGGCCGTAATACTTATGACAAACTTGTATGGGGGGCTGAAAAAAACAGGACGGGGGAAAGGTATTAAGAAAATAATAATAAAAAATTATATTCTTTACATGGCGGACCGCATGCGGCCCGCGGGCCGTATGTTGTGCAGGCCTGTGTTAGATAAACATCCATTCAGTAAACACCTGCCATACCGGACATGAATTAAATAAACGTGCATTTTGGCGCGAAGTCTTTCACATGCAATATGACCACACAATGATACACTCAAGAACCTAACATGCAATATGATCACACAATGATACACTCAAGAACCTAACATGCAATATGACCACACAATGATACACTCAAGAACCTAACATGCAATATGACCACACAATGATACACTCAAGAACCTAACATGCAATATGATCACACAATGATACACTCAAGAACCTAACATGCAATATGATCACACAATGATACACTCAAGAACCTAACATGCAATAAGACCACACAATGATACACTCAAGAACCTAACATGCAATATGACCACACAATGATACACTCAAGAACCTAACATGCAATATGATCACACAATGATACACTCAAGAACCTAACATGCAATATGACCACACAATGATACACTCAAGAACCTAACATGCAATAAGACCACACAATGATACACTCAAGAACCTAACATGCAATATGACCACACAATGATACACTCAAGAACCTAACATGCAAAATGACCTCCGCATCCCTGGTGACTCTACTGCTTACGCTCAAAACATCCAGAGACAGTATACACATTTCTCTATTTTAAATACACCCCAATTTTGTTGTCATTGTATCAAAATAAAACATCAATTCTACAAAATTTGAAGTGACATTTTTTTTTCCAAAGAAATGCTTTAATTCTTTCAGGATTGTATTAATTTATTTTATCAAATTTATTTTGCACTTTTTATATTTATAATTTTAGTCTTGGTATAAATAGATTGAATAAATTTATTTTAAATAGCCTTTGTTGTTCATCTTTATAAATCTGGGGTAACATCAGCATAAACATATTTTGGGGTAAGTTCGCCGGTCCTGCATTAGACATCCTGTTCTCGAGTGATCAATGAACTCAAACAACAGCCACATGGGCACACACACACCACAGCTGTACAGTAAAAGCCTTTAACAAAACATTTCACTTATACTTATATACTTATCTAATAAGAATGTCACCTATATGAATTTTTTTCAAGAAATAAATAAACTTTTGCATTGTCTAAGTGAATATCAAGTGTCATGGGAAGTCGTATTGGATCTAAGTCTTAAAATGGTTAAAGCCATTTGTTGAGTCGTTATTAAAAAAGGAATTTCCTTTTGCTTAAAATCAAAATGCCTCTTAAATTTAAGGAAAAAAAATCTCATTAAAATGTAATGATCTTCACCTCATCTCTCCTTGCTAATTATAAAAGCATGCATCTTTGGACAAGACATTCCTGCAAGCAAATGTTCAGCCTCATGAGTCAAGCACTTTAGTTTTTCTGCCTGTTACCAGTAAATCAAATTAAAAATAATATTGCCCCACTCTGTACACCGGTGGGGAACCACTGGTGCATTGTGCATCATGCAAGATGCTAAAAGAAAGAAGAACTTTTAAAATAAGATTTTTATACAAGACTAATGCTATAAATGATAATAAATCACATCCATGCTTGTCTTCTCCCATGATCCTGTGGAGGAAACAAAAATTATGTTACTTGTTTCAATATGATAGAAACGTAAGCAAAGTCACTGTTAAATTTAAATTCAATGAAAGCACTTTACACATTAATTTAAGAAGTATTTATGTTGTACTTCTTTGTTGTATTGCCTACTGTAAATACAAAATTTTTTAGAAATTGAGTTTTCATAAATGCCATTTATGGTAGCTGATTTCCGACATTTAATGAAAACTAATTAAAATGAGATATACATAAAAGTTTTTTTTCACTAAAGCACGACTTATTTCCCATTACAAGTTATATGTGACTAATGCTGTGATAATGCTATACCCCTCTCCCTCCCCCCCCCCCAAAAATGAGATATACATAAAAGTTTTTTTTCACTAAAGCACGACTTATTTCCCCATACAAGTTATATGTGACTAATGCTGTGATAATGCTATACCCCCCTCCCCCCCCCCCCCCTTTCCAAGTTATGAAGCATATAATATATGGTTCTGTGCTGTGACGCTACTCACCCGAGGTGTAAATCCCTTTAGTCTCATTTGCTCAGTTTCTTGTTTCAGAAGTTCCTCATAACCTTTCTCCCCTTATCTCTCCTCATCAAGTTCAAGCTGCAGGTTCAATTCTTACTGCCTCTCTTTCAGCTGTCGAGCTCTGATCTTTAAAGTATTAGAAAAGACAAAACAATTAATGTTGCTTACAGTTTTGTGGCTGACTGTTTTTAGTTGTGCCAACAGACACACATGGGACTCGGGAGACACATTCTATATTTAGCCTAACGCCCTGTTTGAAGGAGCAAAGAAGGGGCATTGGGCTAAATATATATTAGCTTGCTCCGGGGCTTGCACATTTTAATCTTAGATACTGAACATGATATCCCAATATTGTAACTCCCTTGCTCAACTAAGAATAAAATTAAATAATGTAAAAGCACTTTCACCTACAGGAAGGATTTTGGTAAAAATGCAAATTTACATAGGTTACCAGAAATTTTTTTAAAGAAATTTCGTCGAAGGAAATTTGATCGAACGGAAGTTTGGTCGAAAAGAAGTTTGGTTGAAAGGAAGTTTGGTCAAATTTTTTTTTTCAGGTCATACGATCAAATTTTCATCAAATTTTTTTTTTTGAACACACTAAACTATATAGTAAAACAAAATAATGCGTTCAAAAAGAAATTTGACGCAAAATTAGATCATGTGAACTGAAAAAAATTTGACCAAACTTCCATTCGATCAAATTTCCATTCTATCAAACTTCCGTCAAACAATTTTCCGTCGACAACATTTGTTTCAAACAAATTTCTGGACATGATTTACATAGTTATTTAGAATAACTCTGGTGTTATGAAGCAATTGTAACAAATACAACTTAAAACTTATACAGGAATCACAGATTTAGAACAATGTTCCAAACCGGTTCTTGGAGCACATTCCTAGAACTTAAAGATAAATAAACACCAATTAATTTTTAAGTTTGGGATTGCAGCAATATAAATGACAATTAAATGTTTACGAAATTATTTGGTGTTCTCATTTGTGACGTCAATATGAACAAACTATTAAATCAGGCCGAAAAAAAAAATTGAGAATTTTTTTTTAAAATGACAAAACTCACCTGTTCCTCCAGTTCCCCCTTGATGACAAGTTTATTCAACTTCTGCTCTTCTTCTTCCCTCCTGGTCATCAGTTGGGCTATCTCCATCTCTTTGACCAGCTCCTCCCTGCGCTGCAAGGATTCCTCCTGCTGCTGCTGGAGCTCTGCCAGCTTCAGGGCAATCTGCTCTTGTCTGCTCTTTAGGACCTGCACCATTGAAGGCAACAAGTATAACAATAATCAGACATCTTGAAACAGTTTCATAGAGTTGCTGAACTGAATACTTGCTAAAGTGCTAACACCATGAATAAACAAATGGAGAAGTTTACCTAAAAATTCCACATAATTTCTTATTGCAGCAATTATTCAATTTTTTCACAATTTAAATAAATCCCATGCAGAAGATAAAGTTAGTTATTGAAACAAACTGACAACATACTTCCCACTGTTATTTAACATTAAATATTAGTGTACCTCTGCAATTAACTTTTGACAAGCCTGTCGCTCTCTTTCCCACTCTGCTGCTCTCTTCTGCCACATACGAGCTGCTTCATCTCTAGAATGAGAATAATTTTGTTTAAAAGTATAAGCTTAAAATCTCTTAAGGTTTTGTGTTAGACTGCTGGTAAAAATGAACTTAAATTTTAAAATGAAAATCTTACATTAAAGTTAGAGAACTGAATGAAAATGTTATTATATTGTTGTTTTTTTAATTTAATTTAAAAAAAAAAAAAACAGCTAGGTCAAAAAAAAATTCATTCCTTTTTTTTAATTTAAACTAAAAAAATAACAAAACTTACTGATATAACATGTCCAACTCAGCCTCTCGTGCTTTCTCTAAACGCAGTTGATCCTCTATGACCTGAAAAAAATAGTTTATAGATACAAGGATTTTATTTTTTTATATTTTTGAGCATTTCTTTTCTACTTGAATATTTTTCGAAAAATTAAAAATGTGTAATTTAGTAATTTTTCATTGATTTGCCTACAGTTAAAAATTAATACTCTTGTCTCACAAAGACAAATTATTTAAAATGTGTAAAAATTTGTTAAATGTGATGCTATTTAAATAATGGATTTATCAGGGGTTAACAGTTTCTAAAATAAATATGACATTCTTTTTTTTCTAGGCTTCATAACTTAACTATTGATGGCCATCCCGTTCTTTGCAGTTTATAGCACAAAAAAAGTATAAATCAGCTTGAACAATGAAGAGTTGAAATTATGATCAGAAAATTATTTCTAATGACCTGCTTCATCCAATGTGCATCAGCCTTGGCCTTTTCTCTTCTTGCCGACTGCATAGAAATCTGCTCGTTTTCTTTTTCTATCAGAGACTGCAACAATTTTCTGTCTTGTTCCTGAAAAATATTACATTGCACTGTTCTGTACCTGCCCATTTCTATTTTAACTAACACTGCATTTTATAATGTACATACGAGATATATGAAAATACAGTTTTGAGTATTTGAGGCTGTTAAGCTTTATTGATTTGCCTTTACAGTGTAGATTACATAAGTAACTGTGATTATATTTGATTTTTGTTTTAAATCTAAATAGAAATGTAGTTTCATCAGTAACATGAAAAATAATTTAAAAACTTATATACCAATTCTTCTTGGATGACTTTAGACTTGTGCATCATCTGAGCCTTGTGTTGTCTCAGTAAAGCATGTCTGTCACAGACATGATACAAGTAAAAGAAAAAAATAGATTCAATTAAACGCATCAAACATGTTTTGAATTAATAAAGTTGAAGTGTCAGGAAAAAAAACGAATATGATAGGGAATAAAAAAACTAGCTTGAAACATGTGTCACAATTGCTATTATAAAATATTTTTAAAAATGTGAAAACTCAAATTTTACTATTTCCTTTCAATTTCATATATTCTGACAGGATCCTTAAACAGCTGTACAGTTCACTTTCCGCTTCATTGAATATTTTTCTTCCTTCTAGTGCATATTGTAAAAAAAAATTATATTTTTATATTTTATCCGATTTCCTTGAGTAAAAGAGAGTTCTACCCTAAATCTTGTTTTTTCCTCTCTTCCTCCCTCTTGCGCTGTTGATCTTCTATTTTTTTCTGGCTCCCATTTCTGTCTCAATAAATCTTCCTGTTGCTTAATCCATGCCTTGGCCTGAATAGGGAGAGAGTTATAAAATGTGGTGCTAATAAATTTAATTATACCAACATTGGTTTTGATGGCTGTCTCACTCCATTAAATAAAAAAACAATTTCAGAAACAGAATAAAAATCCCTTTCTAATCTTAATTTTCATTTCCCTTATACTGACTCATTCATATTATACTGACTTATTCCTACAAATTTTTGAGGGGCTTAAAAATTTAAAGAAAGCAAATCTTTTAAATCCTTTAATTTGAATACATATATATATATATTTAAATTTCCATATGGCCTGAAACATGCCTGATGCTTACAAAATAAATTAAATTTTTTGAGAAATCAAAGAAGGAGGATCTCATATATGCTACAGAAAAAAAACTAAAATAATGACTTTACTGCATTTTCATCTGCAATTATTATTATGTAATGGATTTGTAAAACATAAAAAATTAAGCACATTTAATTTATTTCTTTGTTACAGAAAACTTGACACCGAGAAATCAGCTCACCTCCTCTTCTCTGGCCTTAAACTCAAGCATCTGTTGTCTGAGCATATCTTTCATAGACCTCTCTTCCTTTAGTCGTTTTCTTCTTTCTGCCTTTCCAGCTTGATGGCATCTAATCTTTCTTCCTCCATCTGCTTTTCAAAAGCAATTTTTTCTTGTCTTGCTGATTCTAGTCTCTGTTTTTATGTAAGATTTTGATGTCATAAATAGAAACCTGTGGCAAAACACTCATTCTTTATTTATTTATTTAGGCATTTTTATATAGCGCTTATCATAAAGCTCTAAGCGCTTTACAATTATTAAAACATGTAAACTAATTAAATACAAATGAGACACTAGGATAGTAACTACTATTCTATAGAAACAATGAAAATGGCTATAAAAAGAGGACACTTTGACACTTCAGGATTAAACCGAAACAGAAAATTAGGTAGGGCAAGGAGGGTGCATCACAGGTCATAGGCGGACCTAAACAGATGAGTTTTAAGGGACTTTTTGAAAATGGACGAGGTTTCACTATGACGTATATGGAAGGGGAGCTGGTTCCAGAACATGGGCCCATGGAAGCAGAAGGAGCGTTCACCGATGGTCTTTAGCAGTGAGTTTGCTGCCATATTAAATAAAGTTTAATACAAGTTAGATCAAATGACAACATCATAGCTTTCATCAATTCTGAGATTCTATACATTTTTGTTTATGAGAAAGTATTTGATCTCTGGTAAAACAGCGATTCACTTGGTTCTTTTAATCATTATTGATCCAGAATGCTACACAAGAATTCCATGTGATAAAACATCAAATTACTAAGGTGTCTTTATTTAAACTTAAAAACTATCAAATAATTCCATTTTTTAAAACATCAATGACCACCAATCTTAAACGACCAATCTTAAACCACCAATCTTATAGCCCATATTTCAGGATAACCATAATCTGTGCTGTGTCTGAATGTTGCCCTGTAAACAGTGTATGCTGGTATCGGTACAAACAAACTTTTCATAGGTAAAAATTATATTGCCAGCCACAACAGTATGCCTGTAGCAATCATTTAAACTGATGAAATAAACAATACTTTGTAGTGCTTAAATGAGTCATTTTAAAAAGATTCCTTTCAGGAAGTTGACCAGCTTGTAAAATTTTAACAAAAAGTGGCAAGGTTTAAAAAAAATTAAATATTGAAATGACCAAAGATCATGAGGCAAGATTTGCTTCTCAAACTCATCAACATGAGTTGTATTAAAGATACACTAACTTCTTCTTTCTCCTCTATCTGGTCTCCCCATTCTCCAACAACATGTTCTTGGAGTAAATTTGACTTTGCCTTTCTAAGTTCTGGATTGTTTTCTCTCCAGTGCTGAAACAACTTGTCCTCAGCCAGCTGCAGTTTGGATAAAATATTTGGCTAAATCTTAATGGATTCACTAAATCTTAATGGATTGGCTAAATCTTAATGGATTGGCTAAATGTTAATGGATTTGCTAAATCTTAATGGATTGGCTAAATCTTAATGGATTGGATAAATCTTTATGGATATAATATTTGACCAGATATACTCAAAGTTAAAACCAATTATACCAAATGAACTGCTGTAAGAGGAGATAGAAATAATACTTAAATAATACAAGAAAATTAGCTTTAAGTAATGTTAAATATAGCTGGCAGCTTTTTTTAAAGTTTTAAATCTGTCTTTTTTATATGTCAAATAACTTAAAGAAGAAATTTTAGTTATTTTTTTCAATACATTTACATTCATTAGAAATTTACCAATATGTTGTATAGCGTTACAAAGAAATAATTTCTACCTTCTGTCTTTTTTCCTCTCTGGCACTTTTGAGACCTTCAGTTTTGGCTCTCATTTCTTCCAGTCTTTCAAAGTTGGGCTTGGACAGTCCTTTCAGTTCAGCCTGATAAAAATAGTTTTGTTATAGCTCAAACAACTAGTGTACACTGCTACAATAGTATGGTACAGTGGCCGGGAACCTTTTCATGGGAAAGAGCCAAATATTAAGTTTCGATCTAGCAACTAGTGGTACCCAAGAGCTACATGATAAAGGCTAAAGAGCAGAAGGCCCCTGCAATAGTAGGTGATTATAGTATTTACCTATCATAACAAATATGGGCTATTAATTATTAACTCTACATTCAAATAAAGTTAGCAGTGTGCTGGAAGCAAGCAATATACCTCATGAATAACCACTTTAAAAAAATAATTTTTTTTTACCTTTGTTTCACCATATCCAAAGTAGAAATGCAGACATATAATTGACTTTATGAGATGTTTTGCAAAAACACACCCCTCCCCGTTTAACACAGAGGTCGTTCCCTTAAACTAAGATTGATTTTTCTTCCACTAAATGTATTTTTCTTCTGCAATGCTGGTAACTAAGACTGCCTTTTCTACAGCACAGTGGGCATCATTTTCTGTCAACATCATATACTTGTAGTTTATATGACATTAATGCATTTTGTATGTTGTGCATTTTCATTTTCGTGAAATAGGGGCAGCAAGGTCAATGATGGCATCACAAACTCTTGGGGCTTTACTGGTCTACATTGAATTATATTCACCCAACATATTCTTTGTAGAAATTACCCAGAAAAAGTAAACCTTAACAAGAAAAATGTAAAAAAAAAATTTTTAAAACTATCTACTGCTGAAAACATTCTCTTTATTACACATTAACATGCCGCATAATTTTTAGTGTCCTCTGATAACAATAAAGCCAGTCTGTCTTTACGTTGCTTAAGCTTCATAGATTTTTAAGTCTTGGCTTTTAGATTCTTTATAAGCATCCATGCTGATGAAAGTTAAAAAGAATTTTTTTTTAATACAACAAGCAGTATGATTTTTTTAAAACAAAAGTAACCATTAAAAAAGTGAGGTGTGTGCTAAAAACATCAGTATTTACAGCCATTAGGTTTATATTTAAAAAGTTTTATCAATTACATTGGTCACTCTTTTTGCACAAATAATGAGTGGTCATCATTACCATTACCAATAATAATTCTCTAGGTATGTGTGTATGGCTGTAACTCTGTGTTCAAAAGGAATGCAAAATAAAATTGCCAGAAGTTAGCATTAACTTGGGATTCTTAAAAAGTGTGTTTCTTGAATGCATGTTTTGTCAAGTAGCTTTAGTAGAAGGGAAGTTCATGCACTGCTGCCGCCATTGCTCGCCGGGGTGTTTCTTGTTATAAAATATTGAGTTCATGCCTTTATGTTGCATAGGCTTAAGTGATTGTCAGTAAAAATTCTTATCTTAAAAGTAGCTACAAAGAATACATAACTTAGAACACTAGTAACACAACATTAATTAAAAAGTTTTAATTATTTTTGCTTTTACTTAAAATGATTTTTAAATATTCATGGCAATGGTCTCTTATGTTTTTAGATCTGATAGTTTGACATTGCTTTTTTTAAAAAGTTACATGCCTTTGATACTTTTAATGTTAAAACAACAGACAAATAATACTGTTTTTTTAAACATAATGAATTAACCTGTCTTGAAATCCTTGATTGGATGACCATGCATTCTGCTTTGCTGCCTAAAGATCAGAGTTCTTGAAATAGTTTGCAGTTTCAGTCCTCTGACTCCGCAAATTGTCTTCATGGTTTCTATGCCTGACAATGGCTTGCTCATACATATTTTTACGAGATGACCAGAATCCGGACATCGTGGGTAGCGCCATTATCTTTGCAGTAAGCCACAATTCTTTTATTTCATATGGAATCTGTTTTAAATTACAATTATTTCTGTATTTTAAATAATACTATTGCAATAAATAGCTAATCTTTTGTTGAAAAAACTATTTCAAACATTTTTTGAAACCACACTGTTCTGTGAACATGGTAACATAGAATAAAGTTTTATTTAAAATTTGTGCACCAAAGAAAAGTGTCAAGACTCAAAGCTTACCGAATACCTTCCCATAAATTAAATAGATGTTTGAGAGCATACCATTCTGATTACAATTATAGTTAAAGACTAAGGGATTATTAAAAATGTGTACACCAAAAATAACTTAACTTTCTTTCAAGCCATTCAAAAATCTTTCTTTTACTTTTTATCCTCTGCATTTTACAATTTTCTAATGGCAGCTTTTACTTTTGTCTTTAGGCCTACTTTAAGCTGGCTAAGGGAATGTCATAAGGCCTATGACAAAACTAGTATTTTTCAGGAGGAATAATCAGGACCATGTCATTCATATTATATTTGGCTTTGGTCCTGTGATTCATATTGTTTAGCCTAGTTTTCTTGTGATTAATCAACACTACTTCTACTTCTTACAAATTGTCAATTAAAACATTTCGGAGTTCATTTAAAAAACAAACTAGTTTTCTTGTGATTAATCAACACATTTACAAACAAACATTACAATTACATAGTCAGTCAAAAAGTTAATCAGTATCCTATCTGATCTCAGTATATTATATATTTATTATTATCAGTGCTACTGATAGGCCCTATAATTTATAATCTATAGTCCATAATGATAAAAATAATAATATCAGTTTCAGTTAGTTGAGTTAGCTAAGTTATTACACGTTAGTCTTCTTGACTCTACTTTACTAATTATTTCTTATCCTGGTAAATAATAACCCTTTACCCAAGTATTTATTCCTGTGGTCTCAAATAAAACACATAAACGAGAAGAAATCGTAAATGGTAAATACTCTGATTATAACTAGTATTAATAATAGATAAAATTCAAGCCTAGACACTAATCAATAGGCTACTCAAATTATGTCTCGAGTGACAACAAACTGAGTGCGCAACCGCAAAAGAATTATCGAAAACATAAATCAGCGAAAACATCACAAACAATTATTCAATAACGAAAACGAAGAATAACTCATCGAAAGCTGATTTATATCAGAATCAGTCTGATTACTCAGACACTTTTATTTTGCTGTTCTCTGATTAAATTCATTTAAAAAAGCAAAATAATTGATTGAAATGAATTGTAAATACGATAGTTTGTTCGTCTACATACGGTTTTAGGCATAGTTTTTTATTTTTAATTATTAAAAAAAAATAGTTTTAAGTTTTAATTCGACCAAGGAGTCCAAACTTATTAATAATTAATTAACAATAATGTGTTGTGGTCGGCAAACTTATTATTCAAAAGAGCCAAAAATCAGCAACAAGAAGATTTTTTTTTAAATTTGAGAGCCAAATTTCTTTTCAAGAGCCTGTCAAGAACCATGTTTTTCGGAGTAAAAATGGTTTCATGGCCGGCTGGCCGAGCCACACTCGCTAAAGAGCCGCATGCGGCTCGCGAGCCGTGATATGCCGACCACTGGCCTAGCCAATCGACACTTATCGACTATCGTCATCTGCACCTGTATGTATCTCTTAAAAAACTGATTTCTAAACATGTATCGATACAGAACCTGCGCTCTTCAACACAGTCCTTTCTGAGAGTTCCCAGTGTTGATGGACACAGAGAAGTCATACGTGCGCTCTTTTTAAGCTATTGCGCCTAAAACGTGGAATAGTTTGCCCCAATCTTTAAGGGACATTGTAAATGATACAAAGTCATTTAAGAACCATTTAAAGATATTTTTTCCCCTTTAAATTGATTTTAGGACATCAGAGCGGTGTTAGCATGCTAAAACAGCATGGACACAAGAGCTATAAAAGTACTCAGTCATCAGCATCCTTTTTTTTTTCCCTCGAGATAGCTTTTCACTTTCACCTCAGGTCTAAACCAAGATACCATACAAAAGATACATAAATATGCATGTGCTTCAATAAGAGGTTTGGGGGAGATTCCCAACTTTTTCTAGTGGCACCCTGTCCTGTTTGAATCCTATTCAGTTACATCCTGTTCTGATTGAAACCTACTCTGATAGACCCTGCTCTTTCTGGTGGCAAACTGCTATAGTTGCAACCTGTTTTGGTGACACCCTGTTCTTTTTATTTTAATGAGTTCTGATATAATACTAACTCGAGCGAACTCTGTCAAAATTGTATTTTCAATAAGTGTCACCCCACCCCCTGTAAGGAGTTGTTCATAAAGGAGGTCGACACATTACATCAATGTGCATTAATTTTGTCAATCAGCGGGCTGCGGATGGTACGCTGTACCCAATGTTCCCTCTAAGGTTTGTTGATCCGTGTGCAAAATCATAAAGTTGTGTGCAAATTTTTACAGCATCAATATTTTCGTTCGCACAATTTTACAGCCTACAGACACAAACACACACTTAAGTGGAAATTAGCTGCGCGGTACTCAAAACTGCTGCGCGGCATCTGTGAGATTACTGCGTGGCCGCGCAGCCACGCAGCTTAAAGGAAACATTGGCTGTACCCCGGGCGGACCTTTTTTTTCTTTATATGAAGGGGCGGCCGGCTGGAGAGTTATTTTTTTCGTGGAAGGAGGTGCGGCAAAATGTTCGTCCCGCCTCGGGCGGCCTTTACCCTCCTTTCGCCACTAATACATTCTTCTATAACTAAACTAAACATGCTAACTTACATTTCCTAACATTCCCGAAGAAGGCGTCTAGCTGAAACATCCATTTAATTGTCTTGTCAGCCTTTTCTTTTCAAGCAATAAAATTAAACATATTTTGTTCCACTATTTATATGTACACTATCACTGTCTCTCATTTTTTTTACTCAGCTCAATCAAAGTCACCTTAGGTGTCCGCTAACCAATTTAGTCCTTCCTATTAAATTAGAGCTGGCCATTCACAGAGCACTTAAACCCCTTATTTGCCTACTATGAGGTGACCCAGAACAGCCAAGAAAAAGACATTCTTGTGGCGTAGGCGTAGGAAGGGGCTGCGGAGGAGCTTTATAAGGGGGGTGGCATTTTTGTCACCCGTTAAAATTTTCGTCTTATTTCTTTTTGAACGCAAAAAAAAAAGAAATTTAAAGCAAAATTTTACCATAAAAACTGAAAAAAAAAGAAGATTTGACCAAATTTCTGTTCGATCAAATCACCGTCGATCAATTTACCGTCGACGAAATTTCTTTCGATCAAATTTCCGGATACGGGAAAGAATCAGTGAATTTAGAGGAATTAATGTTCGCACGGCAAACCGGGCAATAGCTACAGTGAAATATCAACTTCCTGTTTATATTCAAGATGGCAACAACAAATATCGCTTCCGAAGAAGCACAATCGAAATATTTAAAAAATGACATTGACGCCCACAAAAGCCATATAAATATGTCATCTAAAATACCCGAAACTACGGTTTACTCCAATGCTAGGCAGTATGCCCAAGCTCTCCGCCCTTGGTTGTGGCAGTATCAAAATGCATGCGTAATGCAAAACGTAACTAACAATTTTGCGATGCAGATGCAAGCAATGGCCTATTTGCAAGGTCCACTGGCTTATAATTTCCTTTCAACCAATGCACATGTCAGACAACGAGTAGATCCATATGCTAATCGTAGGGCCCAGAATTTTCAAAATGGAAATCCCCCACAAATATCTGTTTCTCAACAAGCACAACAGGCTCAACAGCCACCACATCCTGAAGGTAAATGAAGTAAATCCATACTTAGATCTAAACTCTAAACTTAATTCCAAAAGACCTGATGATAATAAAGTAAGTAGCGTCAAATTTTAAAAATGACACATCTACCATGGTAGCACATATTATATAACACAAAATATGAAATTTTTCACCACCCTACCTCATCATAGCCTTAATAACTTATTCATATATTTATATATTAGGTACTTTGACACAAAATTTAAATATTGTCCTATTGCCATGAATGATAAATAATTTTAAAGGGCTAGCTATAAGCTTTTTAATAACACAAATTTCATCTTTCTATCTTTTATAGAACTGGAGTTATGATTTTTTTGGTCAAATTTTTATGCCCCTTATAATCTATATATTTCACCCCTAAAACGTGTGACCCAAACTTCACATTTCTGCATTAATTTGCCCAAAATTTTTTTATTTTTAAAGATAATTGCACCAAATTTTCAGGAGACATTCCTAATCTAACAACCAACTCTAAGAACAACATACATTTTACATTATATCAAGACTTTTTATTTTGGATAATTTTCTTTTCAGGTATGTTGAAAAAATCATGTCCAAAAAAATTGGAAAATTATTATTTGCAAGGCAAAAACACAAAAATTACTAGTTTATTGAAGTTAAACTAAATGTATAATTCAGTTATATTTCTTATAATTCTTATCTTTATAAAAGGTAAGTAGAAGTCTTTTTTAATACAAAATTAAATGCATGAAATTATAAAAACTATTAAAATTACGCATCACAAGACTAATGTATGAGCATACGGGTATGTTATTAAATTTTAAAAGGGAATGGGTATGTTCTGCCTATCATTTTCTATGTCGTGATGACTCCTCTACAGATATCTTGGTCTTGGTAGATGAATCACAAAATGTCTCCTTCATAAACTTTGTCTTTTCCATTCTTGTCCATATATGCATTACTGTTGATGGAAGTGGAATAAATTCCATAAAGATCTTCTCTTCAAAAGAAAATTAAAATTTTCCCTTGTTCCTGAAAGAAGCCTAGAAATAACATCTAATCATAATCCTGACTGAATCTTCACAATTTCTTGTTTCTTTTTAATAATATTCATTTTATGTGTTGATTAAAACTCATTTCTTTTTTTTTAAATTTTATTTGTTATTTAATTTTAATATATTAAATTATTTTTTATGTAAACTGCTTTTCTATATCCTTATAAAAAAAATTATTTAATTACTTATGTAATTATGATGTTGTAGTATTAGAATGTTACATTAACTTAACAATAATTTGAAATTTATAATTAAATTAAACAATTACTAAATTTTATTAGGCCTACAACTGCAAGTTGTAAATATTAGCCTAAATACTAGGCTTAGGCCAAAATAGACTTAATAGGATTACCGGTAAAATAACTGTTTTATATGCTTATTTTTTAAAATATTCTCTCATATGGGTAGTAATTTATAAGAGAATAACAAATATTATTTTACTATTATTAAACAATTAATTATTGATTCAATAATTATAATGAAGAACGGTAGAACTAGAACGGATAAATTTGGTACCCGATGAACAAAACTATTTAACGTAATAAACTAAAAAGCAACCCATAGACTCTACTCAAAACTTTTCAAGTTTGGTTGTAATCTTCTATTATTTTTAAAAAAAAATGATTCATTTGAAACGTAATGGAATTATTCAGATGATTAGGGATTAAACAAAAAAGGATCACTTCATAATTGACAGTAGTCATAGCCATTTCCGGCAACTCGATCGAATAAAATTAACTTTTGATTCAGCGATATTTTCGACATTTTTGGACATGCGCAGGTCGGTGCGTCGACTAGTTTTAAAGTACCTATATATATGGCATCCTTCCGTCTTCGTAAGACGATGGAGTAGCTATATAGTTCCACACTTTGACGAGTGTCTCACTAGGCCAATCCTAGAATGGCAATCAAGGCCGCATCTCTCGCAGGAGAATATTGAATCCCTGTAAATTCTTGATTTCCGAATTGTTCTTTTTGATTCAAGGGCCTCGTTTCGAGTATCTTCTGCCTTTTTTACTCCTTCAAACACTGCTGTTTGCCAGTTAGATCGATGTTCGGCATTGAACTCCCATTCGTTTGTTTCAGTATTGGCTTCCCTCATGCTTCCTTTGCAAACATCAATAAATCTCAGGCGCGGTCGTTCAATATGTCTTGTCCCTCCTGCCAACTCTCCATACAGCAGTGTCTTTGGGAAATGTCCTTCCTCCATTCTCCGTACATGACCTAACCAGCGAAGGCGCCTCTTGATAAAGGAGAATATGCTAAACATGTGTGCACGTTCCAAAACCTCCACGTTAGGCACCCTGTCCTGCCAACGAATGCGCAATATGCGACGCAGACATCTTTGATGGAAGCTGTTGAGTTTCTGTTCCTGACTGGTATATGTGGTTCACACTTCGCTACCATAAAGGTGCGTGCTAAGCACGCATACCTGATAGACACTTATTTTTGTTTTATCAGTTAGATTGAGATTATTCCACACCCACTTATTCAGTTTAGCCATAGTTGCTGCTGCTTTTGCAATCCTAATATTTATCTCTTCATCAAGGGAGAGAGAACTAGAAATATTGAATCCCAGGTATATGAAATGATCAACAACCGAAAGATTATGACCCTCAATAGATATAATTGGAGGGGATGGTGCTTCTTGCATATTACATGAGTTTTCTGTAGACTAATCGAAAGTCCAAACTCTTTACAAGCATGTGATTAACCAGCCCCTGCAGATCTTCTTCTGTGTGAGATGTTAAGATGGCATCGTCAGCGAACAGCAGTTCACGAATCAGCACCTTTTTTACTTTGGTCTTTGCACGAAGGCGGGCGATATTGAACAGTCTTTCATCAGATCTTGTATGGACGTACACTCCATTTTCACAGTCACTGAAAGCAAAATGAAGGATCATCGAAAAGAAAATTGAAAAGAGCGTTGGTGCCAGTACACAACCCTGTTTTACTCCCCTGCTAACTGGGAATAACTCAGAGACAGTGCCATAAATTAATTTTGTCATTGATTACGTTAAATATTTGACTTACGGTGATGCTCATATAATTTACCCACCAGGGGGAAGCCCCATGTTTTGGGTGTGTCACTTTGACCTTCGGTAAGCTAAAAATGTCTTAAATACTATTTTTAGCGATTTAACAACATTATTGGAACCTAAAAAATACTGTTAACCATCTCAATTGGATTGGGAATAACTTTAAAATTGTCAATTTACCCTTTTCTCTTGAATGTTAACCCTTTAACATGTCATTCAGTCCCCCATCACCAGACAGAAAAATAGATTTTGCCATTTTTTGTTAATTCACCGGGAACGGACGTGGTTCTTGATAACAATCAATAAGAGAGTTTTATTATTCTGTAATCTTTAAATATCTTAATAAATCTAAGTAAATTTAATTTAAGCTTGCTGCCACCTTCTATTACTTGGCCTGCAAGTAGGTATAGTAGGCCTATGCCTATCCTACATTAAAGTGTATATTTTAATAGGCCTAAGCCTAATTCTAATATTACTAATAACACTATTCTATACTATCTACATTTACAGGCCTAATTTCAGTTAGCATTTAAAAAAAAATTAATAAGCCTTTTAATTATAAATTAAATACATCAAATAAACAAATAGGACTCGACATCATCATAAATCATTGCAAATCTTATAGGACAATATTTAAAATGTATGTTAGTGTGCCTATTACATAACTTCTGCATTTTAGTTTTTTTAATTATCAAGGCTAATTGCGTAAAGATGAGGAGAAATTTTACCAAAATAAAAACTAATGAAAAAAAACAAAAAATAAAAAGAAATATTTATAACATTGCTCTCTTCACCCTCCCCAGCCCATATAACACAATATAACAATGATAAACCCCCCTCCCCCTCTTTATATATTATGTGCACAGTCCTGTAGCTAGTAGCATACTATTTCACATCCTTAATTATTTAAACAACACTAAATTTTCTAACCTTAAATGTTAAATGTAAATAAATGATAAATATAACTTATTTCATGTTGACTTACATGATGGACACATCATGTTATATGACTTATTCCCCCCAAAAATAATGCCAAATGAAGTAAATGGCAGCCATAAAATTAACACTAAATCAAAGTCAAAGCTACTCATGCTAAACTATTAATTTTGCTCTCTTGGCTAGGAATTGAGAAGTGCATTAATTAAAATTGAAATGAATTTGAAACACCAACCATGTTCTTATAACTTATAGTTCACCAAAAATTAAAATTATGAAAGTGATATACAGGGTACTACTCTTTATTTTCACAATAATCAACATTTTGAAATTGGTGGGCGATTTTCAGGACTACTGTACAGAAAAAGCCTGAGTATGTGAAGGAGACAAATGAATTGTAAAAAAAAAAATTTGATTCCATGACTAGATGAAGTACCAACAATAAAATGCTTACATTTCAAATTTAACTTTTGGCACAAAAGCTAGCAGTAACTGAACTTTACTTAAAAACTTATAAATGCTCATTAATTTATTTAGAGTCTTGGGATTCATATTTCTCCTCCACGGTTAAGAAATGGCTGGAGTTGTGTTTACAATGATGATAGACAACACAGACAGGTTGCACTTACTGCCATGGAAAATCTAATCAAATTCATGTTCATAATGGAGCTTTTACTTTAGTGAAAAAAATGACACACCATGAAGGTTATGTTTTCTATGTTGTTAAAATTAATGAAGCAATACTGCAAAAGTTGCATTGCTGCAGCAGCGAAATGAGAACACATTTTTAAAACATATTTTTGTTAGATTGCTATTGCATAAATTCAAGTCATGCATGTAACAAAAAATATTATGAATTTTTATTTTTATTGAATTTACTGCTATCTTAAAATGAGTTTAAGGTTGTAGCTGCTGTCTTAGGTCAATGGATCAGCAACATTTACTGCCTCAGGTAATGCAGCTTAGCTTTTAATTTATAAGGTTTACCAAAGCGGTAAAGCTATCCTCTGTTAAAAAAAATGAAAGTGGGATCTGTGAGTTTGATGTCTTGTTTGACTTTCTATTGCAGGAACAGCATTTAGAATACCAAGTTTCTGGAAAAGATTTGTTGCAGAGCTGATTGATTTCACCTTTTTGTTTTACATTAAGATGGCGGTGTCCCTTTGTCTTATGACAGAGTTGAGCTTGGATCAGCTGTTAAGTACCATTGATAATTATTCGTTGTTAATGCTTTGAAAACGGCGTTAGGATTTAAAGAAATCTCAATATTTTACAATGACATTCATAAGCCTGTTGTTAGCAAAAGACTTAATTATTCGACAAAAGTAAATGTTTGATGAGTCATTGATTTATTAGAAATATCATCACTGCACTTTTTACAAGGATCAAAGCTGCTGGTAAACAAAATGTCAAGTTTTTTTGTATAGTGAGGAACTATGTATACAGCAACACCCGGTCTAAAAGTAACCACTTTATCCTAACTACAAAAGCTGTCCTTGCAAAAGCCAAATCATGATTTTATTTAGTTGTACAGCACATGTAAGGAAAAACACAAATGTGGATCTCCAGATCCAGGCATTTCCCATAGCCCAAAATGTGTTTCTTCCACCCTTCACGATCCTAGGAACAAATATCTATCAAAATACATTTCACAAATCCTCATAATTACCGACATTTTACCACTTATGACACACAACATCCAATTACTACAATAAGTATGTGATATTCATCTCTTTTTCTATCAGTAACTTATTAAAACAGTACCAAATTGATAGATTAAGGCTGATGAGAGCCTTGCCGCTGCCATGATTGGGAATGACACTAAAGCCAATCCCTCATTCAAACATTTAAAATTTATGTTCCAATTTATTTGACAGTTATTTATCACAAATAGCAACTCTCTAGGTATGTGTGTATGGCTGTTATGCTGTGTTCAATGCAAAATCTAATTCCACAAAAATAACACTAATTGGGATTCTTATAATGTGCGTTATCAAATAACTTTAATAGACGGGCAGTTCACTCATGACTGTCACCATTGTTTGGCAGGTTATTTTTAGTTATAATGAAAATATGAGATGAGAATAATAATTATAATAAATTTAACAATGAATTATTTTGTCTTTTGTCAATCCAGATCATTTTTAAACAGTGAGGATCTTTTAGAAAGCTTCAATGATCTTGACTACGATCGAGCTTTTGCCATCACATTTGAAGTTATTGCTTTAGAAATTTTGAACAGAGTTCTCATAACAATATTTGAGGTAAGCTGCTCTTATATTCTCCTGGGACTAAATGCGTTTGACTAATTGGCATCATGTGTAAGCCATTTGTATCCTTCATGACCAGATATTTTTAAAGTTTATGTCTTGTCTGTTGTATTTATTGAAATTCTCCCTGAAGAAACATGATTTTTATTGCATTTGGTTCTCTTTATTTCACAGACACTATGTCTCTACAGAGCTGCAGCTGGTGGACGGGCAATGGGAGCAACACCTGGTAAGAGACTATTGGGACTTAAAGTTGTTTCGTGTGATCAGGTTTATAGCCTGCGTCCGGGCCAAGTCATTGTAGCACCTGCTGGGCAGATTAGCTTCAAAAAGTAAGTATAATATAATTAGTGTGGACAATGATTTAATAAAAGAAAGAGTCAGCTCTATATATTTCCAATGTTCTTGTATGTTTTAAAAATAAATTATACTTTTTAGTACGAAAACAAGCAAAAAATCACTTTGAAAATCTTTCTCATGAATGTAAACATTTTAAACTTTATAATGATGACATTTACATTAGTTTAAATAATTTAAATGCCATCCATTTTTCAATGAATGGGCAAATATTTTTCAGTTCCTTATAACAATTTGTCGGATCGATGGATTTTATTTCAGTGATTACATAAACATTACAGGCATTATTCATGCAGGAGAAATAATATTAATACCCTCATATTTAACTATGTGTATTAATACCCTCATATTTAACTATGTGACAATTATCTTCTTTTTTTTTCTTCAGTGCTTTCCTGAGATCTGTGATAAAAAATTTCACAATTGCATTTTTCCTGCCCGCTTGCCTGACTCTGTTTTTTTTCAAGCACAATCGTGCTGTCTACGACATCATTGCACACACAATAGTTGTAGAGGACCCTCCCATCTGAGAGTGGAAACTACGTGAAAATTAATGTGAAACTTTTTCTTGACTCACCACCTTAAACACATGTCTCATTTTCACTGATAATTGGGTTAGACAGTTCGTTAAAGTTTTATAAAAACTTTTTCATGTTTTCTTGACTTTAGGTGTGAAATCACAATAGCATTACTCCCACTGCATTTATATTTATACATTTTTTTTTCTTATATCAATATGAACAGCTTAAGTTATTTTAATGTCGAAACCTTTGATCACAATTGTTTTCTTCTTTAAATAAACTGATTTTTAAACAGATGTTAGCACATATACAAATGGCTGAAATCACTACTCAGTGGTAAGCCTTTATTTTCAGATTGCAAGAATAAAGTATTAAATATCTTTGAAACTACAAATAATTTAAAGCTAATTTCACAAATTTGTAATATGGAAAAATAACCTTATATCTTTTCCTGATTAAAAATGTTGAGTTTGCTTCTGTTAAATAAAAGCAAAAACACCTTTTGACTGTAGAAGTAGAAGCAGAAGGTGTACAGTTTCTTGTCTGTGTGGGTTGGATTTGCAAGTCTCTTAAATTACAAAAGTATTGATATGAAAGTTGTTTACTTTTCATGAATATACCACCATCATGCTAATTTAGACACCCTAACCTGCTTTATTACCACCATACTTTGATATATTTCTCTTTGTTCTGACGTTCTGCCACATTCAGTGCCATTATCCTCTCCTTTGTATGCAAGTGATAAACTATATACTCCAGACAAATCGATCCATAAATGTTATTCATTTTATAAAATAATTCAGTGGAGTCATATGATAATATGTCTTGCGAAGGCGATAAAAGATTTGATTAAATATTAATAACTAAGGGGCTTAACCGGATGCACTTTATTTTACACTGGGTCCGGGTATTTGGAGAAATACCAGCTGAATCCAATTGTTACAAACAAAAAAAAGAGTTAACTTCTCATTTTCTACAAACAATAATCCTACACCTTACCTGAAGGTATTTAAACAATGGTTCAACAGACAGTCCTACACCATACCAGTAATAATCTCCTCTGAAAAAAATGCAACTTTATACCTGAGTTCAACCGTCAGGCATGACGCTTACTTCGTGACAGACTTTTTTTTCCTCACTCGTTACTATTAATATAAAACATGTTGAGTAGGGGAAGGGCCGGTTGTGAAAAGGAAGCAGGACACACCGGAAATATATCACGAGTTTCCTTTGTCATTTCTTGATTGTTTTTTTTCTTCCTACTTGAGCAGTGGTTTATATGACATTTTACGTTGGAATGGTTTGCTTAATTCGTTTTAGTCATGCTGTCCTCTAAGTATATTTAGTGGAAATAACTATAACCGTCAAATGGTAGATAAGTCCTTATTTATTTCCTATGTACTTTACAAATGAGTAAAAAAGAACAACTGACGACTGAGTTACTTTATTCTTAAAACGTTCTTAGTTTCTGATGGAAATGTTTAATGTGATGCAGTTAAAATGTAATTTAAATATTTAGCTTTCAGTTTAGTATTTATAATGATGTGATTTTTCAACATAATGTCTGAAATTAAAAATGCAATTGTTTCATTAAATGGGCAATTAATCAAAGGAAAAGTCATAAGGTTTATTCATTATTACAAACTAACGGTGATATTTAACAATCAATCCATGATTTATGTCACTATGCCATAAAACTTAAGTTTACAAGTACATCTTGGTATGGGTTCACAAACAACAGAATATCTTCTCAACACTTCTGTGATGTTTTTACTATGTGCTGTACCATAGCCATAGTGAAATCATTGTCTCTACCTGTGACAGAAAGAGTTCTTTATTGTGACATGTTTAATAAGGTCAAGACTGCCATCAGGTTGTTCTTGTGACATGACCATAATTGCCACTCGGTTTCCTATGTTCGACCCCCATGGACATTGGTACATCGAGTCACCATAGTAATTTAATATTGTAAACTGGTTATTATCTATTGTCTTTGTCTTCAGTATTCAACTATCACTGTCTGATAAAACAGTTTGATACCTTAGCTAGAGATGATTTGTTAAATTCTGGTAAACCTGAAACAAATTCTAGTTTAAAATGACATTCATCAATAATATACATCATGAATGTATGAATTAATGACATTTTTTTAATAATATAAATCTAATCCGACCTTTTTAATATATAATTATTCATAATGTCAGTGTTTGTGTGGTCATGAATTTAGAAACTTTGTCTCCCTGGTGAATGGTTCCAAGTAAATCATGATTTTAATGTTTCTGTGATTATTTTTTTATTATGATGCTTTATTTCAATATTTGAGATTAAAAATTTTGTTTTCTTTATTAAAAATGGTTTGTTGTGTAACTAGGTTAAAATTATTTGATAGCTTTTCTCTCATAAAAAGGAGAATATGAATCATTGCTTTTGTTTTAAGTTAAAAAACTGTTTTGCACTCTTTCATTTCATACCAATCACTGTAGAAAAGTGTCATCCAACACATATATTTATTGGTTGGATCTGATGAAAATAACTTGTAAAACCTTAACCATGTCTTAACGTACAGTGTTAGCGTTATATGATGAGTGATAATTGACACTAAATTCTGGTTTGCAGCTGACTAATGATTTTACCCATAATGGTTAGTTTAGGTGTCGGTCTGTCAAGCAGGATTAATCATTATCTTCTAAAAAGAGGTATATAATTCTTCATAGCAAAACAACTAATAATTGGATATATATAACTGTCCACCAAAGGTCTTTACCATGTTTGACAAAACAAGGAAGATTCCACAATATATTTCACATTTGATCTTCAAAAAGGTAAGTGAATTGCTGTTTAAATGTTTAATCCAGAGCTTTAGCCCTTTTTTTTAACCCTTTTGAGACGGCCACTTTGGACTGTCCGTGCCAAGAAGACAGAGCCCTTTTCGCAATCGCTGGACTTACTTTGCAAATAAATTTATTTTAAAAAATCAACTAATTACATAAAAATATAAAACACATATATTATTGTATGGAACTGAATGAACTAATACAATCTATGAATCAAAATGAAATGGCAACTTTTATGCAAATGAGATATCCTGATTTGCATAATTTATGCATGCAATTTTTGTTTTCACTTAGATTACTTAGAATAAACATGTCTTATTTACATAATTTGTTAAATAAGAAGTGAAAAACATTTAAATGGGATTCAGTGTGAACAACTGTATAAAACATTCTATTAGAGGTGCTTTGGCATATTTCAAGGTCACATATTTTTTAAGTATTTATAGGGATCACTAAGTAAAAAATAATAGTTGATATTAAATAACATAACACTATCAATGGAAGCCGCCATTAAAATGGCAAGATGAGCAAGAAATGCGAGAAGCGATCTGATATTATCTGGTAAACAAAGACCAGACAACCAAACTTTGGGCTTTTATTATTGGGCCGATGGATCAGCCTTTCGTCATCTTCGCCATTCCACTCTGGGCCGATAGATTGACCCAGCCTTCTCAAAAGGGTTTAACACTTTTTAAACTTACCTGGGAAGAGCAGCACAGAAATGCAGGTACCACTGAAGTATGCTGCAGGTGCAGTGTTGGACAGCAGGTCTGCACATTAGTTTTTTGTGCGATCTCACGCACAGGATCAGGCAACCTCAGCTCACCACACATCAGGCAACCTCAGCACACCACACATCAGTCAACCTCAACACACCACACATGAGTCAACCTCAGCACACACACGAGTCACCTTCAGCACACCACATATCAACCACCATAAATAAATCCAACTTTGTCCACTCAAGTACGTTGTTTATTGGCACCAATCTTTATTAGGCCTTTAAGACATAAAGTAAACACACAAAAAACTCAATCAATCAATTGAAACCGTAACCAAAATAATATGTGCATCACTAATCAGTTTGAAAAATAAGGCATCGAAGAACCACAAAAAAAAAAATCATTTATTTCAGACATTCTGATATTTTTTGCATGGAGTTAACTTTTCTTGATGTATTTATTTATGGTGCTTTGAATAGGTAGTCTTCAAGTCTTATTTATGTTTTACAAAATTCTTCACCCTTATTTAATGTACCAGATCCCTAGTCTCAGTCGCACAAAATTTAAACAAATGAAGTTGAAAGAGAGTCAGATTTCAGCAGCCAAATATATATATTGTTGAGATTATTGTAAAGTGACTGACATTACAATCCATTTTCTATGTCACTTTGTAAATCAATTAGTAGTAAGGCACTGATTATAATGTTGGATCAGATAAAAAGGTGAGATATAAAGATGCTCAATTTATAAACATAGCCAAAATATCCAGTCATAGATTTTTAAATACATCTTTAACGTTAAGTCAGAAATAATTTTTCCCAAAAACTAAACAAAAAATTGTTCTTTAGAGAAAGCATTAATATGGGGTTTTTTTTTGTTTTTTTTTTTAATTTAAAAGACAAAAGCTCAGTCTTTATGCAATTTACTTTTGAATAGAGAGCAAACAAAATGCTGAAGTAATATTAGAAATCCATAAGTGGTTGGCACAAGGGAGTTTGCTTCCACTGAATACTAAAACGACACAAAATTAATTATGCATGAATGAAAAGTGCATTAAAAAATAAGCTGTTCAAATTTTGTAATGCTAAGCCAAAATGTATATGAGAAATGAAGATAAAAGCAGAAGTATATAAAAGAATGCAAATTAGTCTTTAACTACAATAAAAAAAATCTCTTGCAGGAAAAAAAAAAATCACTAACTTTTATCCCCCCCCCAATGTAAGTTTAAACATAACTATTGATATATTCTTCAATAAAAATTGGGCTAAAAAAACATATTAAACCTTTTTTTCATTTTAAAATATGTGTTCTTTGCTAACAACATTTCTGACCGCAGCAGCCTCTTATTATTGCTACACCTTTACCCCATCAGAACTGTAAATCATTCATAAATTACAGATATAGTGCTGATGAAGATTAATTGCATTCCATTTAAAGATCTTGTCTCACATGCTGTCTGAACGCCACTCACTTGTGGTTAAAAACACATTTGCTTTTGTGATTTGATTGGCTCAATAATAAAAAAAAAAAAGACATTCAAATAAATCTTGAGTTTTGAATCCAACATTTTCACATTCACTTCTGCCAGATATTTTTGATTTTGCCTGAGATACGAATATTTCATTAAATCAAATACATGTAATAAGACTTAATAAATGTACAAATTAAAAAAATAATAGTAATGTTTTGAATAGTCACAAAAACAAGCATTGCTCTCAATAATAAATGTTTAAAAATTAATAGCTTTGATTATAGACAACAAAAGTGCACACTAGTAATCATTTGAATAAAGGGTGATAATATTTAGATTTTGGCCTCAAAGTTAACATCTTAAACTTATTTTTAAATCTGTTAAAAAAGATTATTGCTTTTCCTTTTCTTATTGCTCAGCTTGATGGTCCTTTTAAAATGGAAAGCAAGCAGATTAGAAACATAATAAAAGAAAGAGAGAAGAAAACAAATTTAAAATATTTTATAAATGAACATTAAAAAAAATTTTAAAAAAAAATAAAAAATCATTATTAATATTTATTTGTGCTTTACATCATCACAATAGCGGAGAAGGACAAATTTAAAATTTAATGTGAGCGAAGTTGACTGGAGAAATTGACATAGGTAGCAAGTGTTTCTTTTATTTTTAATACCTATAAATTTAGTTTTTTTTACCTAAAAAGTCTATGTCTAGGGACTATTTAAAAAAACAACACAAAAAACTTGCATCGTTCCAGTCTAAAAACCCAGGCAGAAGTAATAGTTGATGTTTCTCTTTTAACAACAAAACCTATACCCTGGCTCCCACTGTAAATTCTTTCTAAATATTCAGCTGGTAATGCAAATGTTCATTGCAATTCAGAAAAAATATTGTAAGTTAAAATATATTTATATACAAATATAATCACAAATAATAATTGTCCAGATACATACATATGGCTGTAACACTGTGTTCAATAGGCGCACAAAATAAAATTCCTGTAAGTTAGCTTTTTTGGTGCATTTTTTTGAAGATGGGGAGTTCACAAATTTTTGCCGCCATTTTTCGCCAGTTATTTCTGGTATACATGATCCAAATTATCTTTAAATTTACATCTTTACTGGGTAAATGGAAATTTCATTTATATCTAAAATAAATAATAAAAATGTTCTACTTTTAAAATTTTGTCTGACACTACACATGTGGTTTTACAAGACAAATTAATTATGCCTACTCAACAACAATTTTAAACTCATTAATCTTGCAAGCAAAAGTTTAAAAAAATGGGTAAATGTTAGTTCAAAATCTCTCTTAAACTGCCTTTAAAGCTTTAAAACAACTAAATTATGTCAATTTTTATCCTATTTATTGTTGTTAGTTTCTTCATTGGATTTCAACATCTTAAATTATCAGCTAAACTTATTGAGGGTGAAGAATTCAGTACCAGTACCAGTTCTCTTTTTTCAGTGTTCAAATCAGTAACAGAAGTGGTCCCCAAATTTCCAACAGCAATTAAAACACTTAAAATATTTCCCCTCATAAACCACTACCTTTTGTAAATTAAATGGTTCTGGGACAACCCAGTCCATCAGATACTGAATTGGGAATAAAGAGCTTAATATTTGTTCTACTAATATACATAACAAGAGTGTAAAACTATTTTATTAAAATTTGTGTATTTTTAAATGTTACAGTTTTTTAAATGACATTCCTCGAAAAAAATCAAAGTCACGTCTTCAGAGCACTGATTTGACTGACAATCATAATTAAGATTTTTAAATATCAAGATTATTTAGTCTAACCCTAATTCACATTGATCCGTATGGTATTAACAACACATACACTTGCCTAACTTATAGAAATAAACATATGAAATAACAAATGGCCCCCAAAAATATTAATGGTTGATTAATAATTTAACTCCGGTGCATAAAATAAGTAAGCAAAAAAAATAAAAAATAATATCGTTTATGAATCAATACTTATGCTATATCAAAGAACTCAAGTGCTATTGTCAGAAGTTTGTGTGATGGAAATCGAAAATAAAGTCATTTAAGTATAAGTATCAGTTTTATCAAGATGCTTTGCCTAGCTCTATCTTCTTGGCTATAACACGTGATGAGTGATAGATGAAGGAATCAATCAAACTTGCAACTGGAAATACAACATGATGAATCATTACAATGGATATATTATAGATGACGGTTGGATTTCTTAATAAACTCTATGGAAACAAATTCTAGTTCAGATATGCTCACACAAATATATTATGACTGACAAATTAATTGACCAGATAGTAACTCACCTGTAAATATTCCTCCTATAATGGCACAAACTTCAGTGAGAAAATGAAGAAATGATCTAAAATGAAAAATCAAGAAAGAATTAAATACAAGTGTGTACATACCTCATGAAAGAGACAACTTTTATTTTAATTATGAATATATTTTTTTTGCTTTTGATTCCTGCATTACGTTTTAGAATACAATCACAATAAATGCATTTATTAAATGCTGGAACCAAATTTTTAACTTGAACGGACTGCATGGATCAAATGAAAAAGTTAAATTAAATCAACGTCAAGTTTTTCAATGCTAAATCTTGGTTCACTCCCTTAGTTTAACCCAGGTTGGTACCCAGTGAAAGTTTTGGGGATTGTATGCATAATTGTAAAACTTCTTGAACTTCTTGGGTGGCTGATTTTATTAACGACTCATGCAGGTCATCAGGCAAAAGTCTGCAGACTAGTTTTCAGACTGATGGTTTTAAAACCATGTAATCACAAGCCTGGCTGACTTCAAACCAGGCCGAGTACCACAATTTCTACATCACACAAGATAAGAAGATACCAGTGGTCACATTAATTCATGTATCACTGTATGAAAAAAAGTATTAACAATTGAATATGAAATTATGAAAGTAACATCAATAAACATACCAAATCAAAGCAAACATGAAAATATTAAATACCTTTGTTTTTCTGTATATTTCACCATAAGGGGAGAAAGTTCATATGAGAAAAAGACCCCAGGCAATCCACTATCTCCCATCATCCCACCAGTAGTCTTAGAATGTTTGGTCACAGAATATTGGTTTGTGTACAAGGTCTGAAACAAGGAACCAAATTTGTAAAATAAATAAATAAATAAATATATAGATAGATAGATATATTGATTAAAAATCAGAAAATTCATGAATTTTTAAGGCTTTAACTTTAAATGTATTTTAAAAAAATTTATATTGTAAAAGCATAATTTTAGGAGGACAGTAAGAGGTATGAAGATACTAATTTACATAAATTGTTTATTGAGACAGAGTAAAAGATATGGAAAGGGCAGTGTGGACATGGAGAAGAGAATTAGTCTAATTAGATTAAAGAAACCAAAAAGCATTTTAAAAAGGTAACAACAAAAAACAACCAGAACTGAATGAAACCCAAAAACAAACATGTCTCGACTATCACAAAATAAATTATAATAATAAGATAATAACTTACCTCACCCCCAACTTTTGAGTATGTGGTGGGAACAATTTTTATGAAGTACTGATACATCATTTGAACTGATGATTTTAAAATATTTTTATTAAAGATATTATTTTCAGAGGATAAAATTCTCGTGTCAGAAAAGAAAGTAAGGGGTCATGGTAATGACATCAATTTGTAAATAGCAATTATTATAGGTTATTCTCTACACATGAAAGTAAAAAAAAAATTAAAAATAAAGGGCCAAGCCGGGATTTGAACCCGGGACCTCTCGCACCCGAAGCGAAAATCATACCCCTAGACCACTTGGCCGTTCCCTAGTAAGTCACGATTCAAGTACATATTAATGGGGCTTTTTTCTATTTCTCCTTTTTCCTAGGAGATATTATTCACCATACTAAAGGACCACATCATATGCACCCCTTCAACGAAATGTAATCATCTACTTTCCTAACGAACGAGTAATATATTTTCCCCAACACATTTCGTACGCCATATGGGGTAAAGGTCAATCGACAAGGTAAGAGAAGACAACTAGGGCTAATTTAAAACTCTAATAAAGAAAAGAAAGAAAATAAGCTTGGTGAGTGAAATTTAGTAGGCATGTCACTGTCGGCTTTTACAATCTTTACTTACGGAATGAATCAGCTTAATGTGCATGAAAAATCATGATTAATCAGCTGTTAAAATTCATTTACGGGTGCCATGATTCTACATGAATGGACACAATACAACCAATTATCGATAGTATAGGAAACGAAGGGCACGCGATTTTTTCTTATTTTCGTGTCTGCTAAAAAAAACAAAAAAAAAAACACGTTAGTTAACTCGTAAGCTGCGTGTGAATATTAAAATATTAATGGTTAACGCTCTTCTACTACAATCCTATTTAAAATTTAGTACCGTATTAGAGTATAGTAATACTAATAGTAATAGTTACGTTTGTAATTTGTTAAATCATTTTCAACATCCATGAATGCCATGATTGATGATGCTTAAACTTAATGATGAAACTCAACAATTTCAAGGTGGTCATGGTTAAGTTTACACATTTAATCTTAGGTCACTTCTAGGGCTAGGGAAATGAATTATGACATGACATAATTTGACTCAGTCATGTCATGTCAAATTATGTCACATGACATAATAAAATCTACTTCACACCAAGTTACTGTTACTACTATCTATCATTTGTCCTACCAATTTTTAAATAATCTTGTCATCTGACTGTGGCTGGTGAATTTATACCTAACTGACTTAACTTTCACTTTAGATAATTTTTATTCAACTGTCATCATTGAATATTGAATGAATCATTGCTATTATAAATATTAATTTGTATACTATTAGTATTTAAAATAAAAGAAAAACTAAACTGTGATTAATAATAAGAAAGGTTAAGTAAATTATTTTCAAGAATCTTGTCACTATTGAAGAGAACTGTTCCTAACTACAAAGGCAAATAGTTAATGAACCATGCCTTAAGCCTTAATGAATGTTAAAATTGATATGGAATGGAGGTGCAAAAAATGACAAGTATTTGACAGCTTACACCTGAGACTGAGGTTTAAGTCGCGGACATGGGGTAGAGAGAGAGAGGAGTGTCATGAGATAGAGGCAATAGGAAATGTTTCACACCCCACTCATACATTTACTTGACCATCAATAAATTCAAATTTCAAATTGAAATAACAATGATTTAAACTTAAGCCAGTTAATGTAAATGTTACTGCAATCAAAGTTAAAATGTTTTCAAGAGAAAATTCAGAACATAAAAGTAAATCATTAACACAGTTTGCCACAAAAAATAGAAAATATGCATGCAATATTGGCAATAAATGTAGCATCAGCATAGGCCTTACCATAATGTAGCCTACCCTTATTCACCATAAATGTAGCATATTCTTACAATAAATGAAACATACCCTTACTTGCCATAAATGTAGCATACCCTACTCGACCATCAATAAATTCAATTTTAAAAAAAGAATGCTAAACAATAGTAATTAATAAGGTATAACAATGTAAAATGGCAATGTATATGGATTGTGTCACAAAAGAAAAGCTTAGGCTACAGATGCAAAATACAATTAATGTCATAAAAATGCACATTTAGTGACATTAAGCTTGACTTCGACCTCAGCCGGGAAAAATCAGTTATTTGAAGAAAGGGTTATTGTTTTCTAAAAATAAGTAAACCTATTGAATTGAATATTTCCAGGTTCATAAAATAACAAGATATCCAGTTTCTTGACGTGATTGAAAGGAATTAAGCCATGCCGGTACCCTCAAGTGCTTATGGGCATCAAGGGGCTCCCAGCTGCTTTGATAGAGTCAAAATTGGATTTATGATGGGATTTTGTGTTGGTATGGCATCTGGGGCAATTTTTGGAGGATTCTCAGCACTACGGTAAATTATTGTTAAAAATTAAGTTAATTTACACAAATGACTTTCTATCCTTCAATATTCAATTAAGAATTGATTGTACCAATATTCAAATAATGATCATATTATTATTCTCTTCAGCATGACTTCCATGAAATTAGTAATGCACAATGTTATTTTAGTTTTAAAAACCAATGCTGCCAAAATTTTTAAAAATTTCCTGCAGTTAATAAAAATTTGACTATGTTGTATTTAAATATATTAAACGTTGTATTAGTTTTAAAAAAGTTCAACACATTTGATGATATGAATTTCCTCAAATATTTTTTTTTTAAAAAATGATTTTTAATTTTCTTTTATAGAGTAGCCAGGAAAGTTGTTTCTTTGTTTCCCCATAAACTTATGCAGAGATTGTTTTGTTATTCTTGGTTTAGAAACCTAGTTTTTAATGTGCTGATGGGTTTGACCTATTTTAACAATTTTTTCTCAGATATGGACTCAGAGGTCGTGAACTAGTCTCAACTGTGGGCAAAACAATGTTTCAAGGTGGTGGAACCTTTGGTACATTCATGGCCATTGGAACTGGTATTAGATGTTGATATGTTCAATAAGCTCTTTTCAGAGAATATACTTGGAAAATATGCAAAATGAAACATTTATTAAGACTTTGAGAAGTGAATTCTTAATTTTGATACCTTCTCGTTCCAATATTATTTTGTTGCCAATAGCTAAATTTTCATTTGCTCATCACAAATGAAAGGAAGATATGCCAATATGTATTTACTGAAACCAGTGATAGTAATAATAATAAAAAAGAAGACTTTTGTGTGAGTGTATATTTTGTTGGTACTGTCCAACAGCAGCTTGTATTCTATATTGTATCTACTTGACTAACATATTATTTGTTTATGTGAGTAGAGAGCATGGACTGCCAGTCTCATGATGTAATGAGTGAGTTTATTGGAATTGGAGGATAAAATAAAATTGAAAGTCTACCTGATATACACATGGTTTTTTGTCTTTCTTTATTTTATTTTAAATAATTTTTCTATTTCTATATGATTTAAATGAAGACAGAGATAGCTCCTACCATTCAAATGATTCAAGTTCATTTTAAATAGAGAAGTTTTAAAAAGATTGGATAACTATTTTGCTGAAAGTTTAAAATATAATCAGCAATTTGATCAATCATCTTACAAACAATAGAAAAGATACCATTTTTTTTTCATCCATTAAATATCAAGTCCCATTTTGCGCCCCTTCTAGTGTGGCGCCGGCGGACATCTATACCACATTTAGCTCCCGTTAGCTACACCACTGCCCACCCCAAAATCTGAAATGCAAACACCCAACGCAGAGGATATTGTTTGAAAGAAACACTACTCAGAGCAGCTCTTGATCACAATAGTTTAGATAAGTAAATTTGATAATTTATGGGATCTTGAAACTGATCGGGATGCCCCACACAGTGAGGTTAAGTAACCATTGAGACAAATCATAGTAAACAAAACATAAACTTACATGAATCTACAACTTGAAACGTAGCATCCAATGGGTTGATTATGCCAGGGTAGTCATTACCAAATGAAAGGTGATTAATTCTGTGAGTAACATTGAACTGAAAAGACATTAGACTTCTTAAAGAAGCAGCTATATGATTATCCCTTGTAATGTGTGACATTTCCTTCAACAACAAAAATTACATCTCCAGCAAAATATATTGATACAACAGTATCCTTCCTGTAGATTGATAGCATACTGATGTTTTGTTATAAACATTTGTTGTTTTTTTACTTTGTAATACCCAGGACAATCCAGTATACAATTTCAATGAATTACTCTTAGTTGGTCAGTATAAAATATATTTTAAGATCATAATAAATTCTCACCTTTTGGCCACTGAATGACTGCAAATCATGAACTGTGGAAGGATTGATATAAGTGAATAATTCAATAAATGTCTCTTTACCAAACTTTATACGACACTGGCTGTTTTTTTTTGGTACTTGCAGTTGCATTGCATGCACTTCATTTACCCTCATCAAGATAAGTTTAGAGATTTTTTATATGGTAGTAGGGGGGCAGAAAATGAATGAAAAGTAAAATATATTTCTATTACTTTATATTATAAACTATTACACAGAGTTTCTCATTGAAATTGTGTATTTCTTAAAGTGCATTCCTAAAGCGTTCAGATTTAAATTTGTTTCCTATAATACTACTAGCCCAAATGGGACTTTAACACAAGGATTATCTCTTACCGTGTACATGTTTTTGTTGGAAACTTTTTCCTGGTGCGATGTGAAAATTTCCTCCAACCTGAACACAGAAAATACATATACCGGGTATTGAAATAAATGTGGACATTTGATACTAAATGGTGTAGGTGTAAGCACAGGCATTTCAATGCATTTCTACAACTATATATCAGCTGTGGAACTTTTTTTTTTTACTTAACAGCCTAAGTTATGTCAAAATGAGAAAAAAATGTCCACACTTTGTAAAAAAAAAAAAAAAAAAAATGTCAAGTGGAAAAAGTGTGAAATCTGACACTTCGCCAATTACTCTTAATTTTCCAAAATCAGTGGAAATATATATTTTGACATAATAAATCATATGGTATAAAATGCCCATTCACTGAGTTTCAGGCTAATCTAAATACAGAGTATATGACTGCAGCATTTTCAAAAGCTTGATATTGTATAATTATTATTTTTGTCAAGAGCCGGCAATGCTGGACACAAAGGATCTTTCACCCATTTCAAAAATGCTAATACATGTGCAGAACAGTGTGTTCACTCTGGTTCTAAAAAACATTATTAGAGTAAACTGCAGACACCGTAGTAGTTGTAATCCATTTATCACATAAAAAACAACTAAGCCTGTGCTGTTATTTAAAAATAATCTACAGCCCGCCAAAAAATGGCCCCCGCAGTGCATGAACTTAACATCTGCTAAAGTTACGTGACAAAACATGCACACAAGTAACAAGAATCCCAAATAGTGCTCCGCCCGCCAGGTTTGCAACCTCACACTTTTTTCAAGCCAGTGAACTATATTAATATTGTGGAGAGTTCAGCCTGGGTGGTACAGGAGCGTGGAACCCACAGTACGATGGCCGACCAACTAGCACGCGCATCAGATAGCACATGGAGGAAGAAGACACAAGTGTGACGGTGACACTAGGATAATTAGGCATTAGAATGCGAGGGTGAGTGGCTAGTTGATGTCCATTTAGACAGAGGGAAGTTTTAGGTTAATTAGAGTACCAGCGTGCAGAAAATAGATTAGCCCTGGGAAGGTATCTCGAGACGTAATGACTAATTCGTCGATTTATAAATGGTGATCATTAGACCAGACATGGGAGAGCTAAGCTGGACAGTGAAGAGGACAGTTGGGAGGGAGAACTCAGCCTGACAGGAGTAGAAGACAGATGTGAGAAGACCATAACGAACGAGAGAGACAACCCGGGACAGTCAGAGCAGAGTTCCAAAGTCTTGATTGTGAATAGTATAGCAGATCATTCAAGTGAAAGGCTAACCATTAACATGTTAATAATTGATTGTGCAGTATGAGAGAAAGAATAAATGAGGTAACAAATTCAGATAAAGTAGTTAGAGAACGAGGGTAGAACAGAGACGAACCAAGGTTCTCAACAATATTCTAATATCCCATCCAGCATATTTATAACCCCTTATTTAAATTAAGACTGTTTCAGTAAAACACAAAAATAATACGCACGAAATGCACTTGCAGTAATTTTAAGAACCTCATTTAGTGCAGTTATCTAGAATTATATTTGCCCACTACTGAACCTTAGTTAGTAATGGAAATTGTTACAAAGAGAATTATGTATGTTGATACCCTACATATAAGTATACCTTGTTTACTTCTAGATAGCCATACAATTTGCACCCCTCATTTTTCTGTGCGTCCATCTTTTCTGCCCAGCCTTCACGTTTGCATTGCTCAATGGCGTCAGGATCTTGTAATGCCCAACCTTTTTTCCTATACGCTTCCCTGACATCTTCACATGAATTACAGCATCTTTAGCAAAGAAAATTTGAGATAAATTCAACAGCTGCATTTTTAAATTTAAAATTACACTTTAAAAAAAAAAGCATACTACATTTTGTTTTTAATATTCTTATTTAACTCAAATATAGATACATTTTAAAAAGTATTTATAATTACTCATTTCATTAAAAGTATTGAAAATATGGTTATGGAAATCAAAATAATAATTCCTTTAAAGTTTAAAGCTGTATCATTTGATATATATGGTGTGCCTAAACTGTCCTTGAATTCATAATCCACAAAAATTCATGTAAAAATTAGTGTTTAATTTAATGTAGAATGTGTAGCTATATTATTTTTTTGAAGATGCACATTTCAGATAATTTCATGGTTCCCACTCACCCAAATTGATGTGAATTGTTATTTATGGACATCCCATATCTTAAAAATGTTGGCAATCCCAGAATCCCACCCTTTCAATTCTTTTTACCTACTTTTGTTCTGAGTTCTCAGCACCATAACAACTTTCACATCTTGAAGGATCTAAAGGTGCAACTTCTGCCTGGCAGAATACAACATAAGGGATTTGAAAATTTAAATACAATCTGTTAGCCTTTTCTGCTTCATTCAAAACTTTGGCATACCAGTGGTATTTAATGTCAAATACTTGTACCGTTTACAGCCAATATGAGCTGAATGTCAGAGCCCAAAATGTAGAGAATCAGAATGTGTATTTTTTAGTATTAGCTGCCAAAATATAAACATTCTGATTTTCTACATTGTTTTTTATAGCTGGTAACAATTTAACAATTTATTTTCCAACACTTATTTTTTTTCCCCCTGTCACAAAAACCAATTAATTCCAAAACTAGTTTAGAGTTACACATCTTAACACCTAAATAGATCTCATACTTACAACGTCTGTACTTTTTCCATCTCCAAGCTCTAAATTTAAAAAATTGTAAAACAGAAGCATTTTGTTAACAAACTTGGAGAAAAGGTTAGATACCGTAACAATAACAATTGAAGTTAATTTACATTTCAAGAATTCAATAACGCACATGTATTTTTTGTTAGTTTTTAAATTTAAGCTTCAGCAAATAATATTCTTTATTACCCATAAGAAATATCTTTAAAATTTCTCAGATATGAATACTGACAAAATATACTGTATCCAATTCACAGGGCTATTTTGACTTACTCTGAGGTTCAGGAGTATCACTAATAGTGTTTCCATCCAGGTCCAACCTGGCTTTGAATAAATTGGCTTCTATGTCTATCTGGGTCGCCCCACTCACATCCATGGCATCAAGGGATAAATCTGTGGATTCAGAAACCTATTTTGTGAGATTTTAAAATGATAAAATATTAACTTTTAACTTTTTTCTTGCCAATTGCACTTGTGTTGTGTGCAAATTACATTTCAGAAGAGCTATTTTTTTGTATATTCATAATATAATAAATAATATTCTCTATTTACACAAGTCATTACAATAAAAATCAAAAGCAAAGATTATTCAAACATTACACATGGAAGAAAAGCTTAGCTTTATGCATAGATATGTTAATGAAAAGTACTAAACAGTAATTTTTTAAATTAACAATCTTATAATTATAATAACGTATAAAAATAAAACACATGCCACTATTTTCTTACACCTGTGGTTTCAACATTCTGGTTCTTTGGAAGTTATAATCTGTGATTCTTAAATAATATAGCATGGGGAAAAATAGCAGGTGTGATGATTTTGTTGGTATGAATAAAAATAATGATAATTTGGAAGTAAATTTTTTTACATCACTTGTGATTTGATATTGTAAATACATGTAATAAATCCAATAGAAATAATTGATATTATACCAAACACCTGTAAGAAAGGTGTGCCAACCCATTACTTACAACCACAGGCCATCCTAGGAAAAACTATATCAATGTTGATTCGCAGCTTCTGTCCACGGGAGGTGTCTACAAATAATTCAGGCTGAATCTCAAGTGTTAGGTAATAGTTAAGCTCTGAGACAAACAGGATAAACATCAGGACACCACTGATGATTGTTACTGAAAGACAATTAGATTGAAATAAAATATAGGAAAAACTGCACAACCTTGTCTTGTAATTAATTAGGATACTTTAGAGGATAAGATTTCAGACATATTGTCTTACACTTCATTAAAATAAATTACTAAAATTGTTGGACCAAATTCTAGAGTTACAAAATATTGCCTGTTGCAGTGAAGATTAGTTGAATTACATAAAAAGTGTACCTTACCGGTACTTCAAAAGACAATTTTTGAAAGTGTACCTCTCAAAATACCTTTGTAATATTGATTTTTATCCCTTATTTCCAAATCTTTTCTGACTAGTTAAAAACTGCTGCTGCACAGTTATTATCTTCTTGTAGATATTAAATATATTAATTAGCTTTCCCTTTGTTGTTGAAGCATCAGCTTATTTAGTAATTTTTATTGCTCTTTTCAACTTTCTTTAGTAGTTATAATTTATGTCCCTTTCATAGGTAGTGTCATTTTCTAGGCATAAACTGGAACTTTCTTAATTCCTTTTTTTCTCTTCCATTCATCAAAATGTAGTATTTGATTAAAGTTTGTTGTTTTTTTGTGGGTAATCTATACCTTGTTTTAGAGCTATATTTTAATTGATATTATTTTTGTCAATACTAGTATTGATAAATGTCAATGATGCTTTAAAAAGAATGTCTTGACAGGTTCCCAAATAATTAATACCCAGTTCACATGCAGCTCAATATCCCACATAAGGCATGATGAGGAATATATCCTAAAAGTCCCAATATACATTACAATCATGGTAGACTTGTGCGTTTCTATAGCTTTTGGAATATTTCAAAACATTTAATACCCGGTATAAGAAATGAATTTTAAAAGTGACACTCTGGCGCAAAGACAATAACTATTTATTCATTTGTAATGTTTCAGTCCAAGTCCAAGTCAACATTTCTATTAAAAAAGGGAAGCGTTATACGCAGTCGGCTGCGTATAACCCTGAGGGTTATTCACAGCCGACAGCGTATAACTCTCAGGGTTATACGCAGTCGGCTAGGAATTTAGCCAAATAAGGTTTATTAATCGCTTGTTTGGCAATTTAAAAAAAAAGTATTATGCGTAATGAGCTGCATTACGGGTTGTTTTGAACTAGAACTTTGAATGTGTTTAACGTAAAATTTTAATAGAATTAATTTTAATTAATAATGAAATTGATGATAGCAATAATATTAGTATTAGTGCTATTATTAGTATTATTGCTTGTATCTTATATATTATAATTATAAGTATAAGTCAAAGTCTACATTTCTTAGAGTCTAAGCCTAAGTCTTAGATTTTTTTTAAAGGCATTTCCATGGTCTAAGTCTAGTTATATATTTTGATTGATTAGGTTTTTATATGTTGCTATGACCATCATGTCCATGTGGTTGGTTTTACTGACTAATTCAGGAAATACATTCTATTTATCTTTTTTTAAAATTTTATCATTTATGATTTTTTTTTTTGATGACCTAAATGTAACAGTTTTCAGCTTCTATGCAAAACTATAACTGTGTGAAAGTATTACTTACAGTGCTCCCTCTACAGAACCCCTGCCCCTACAGCGATTTTTTTCCTGCTACTCTCAACCTATGATTATTTTTATTACTGTACCAGTGAAACATGATTTTATCTCCCACAAAATTAGTTAACAACACAAACATATATTTGATAATTATAAGTATAACATTATTAACATTACATTGGTCAAGTTAATAATTCTTCTCATGTTTTAACATTTTTTAGCCAAAAAAAAAAGTAAAACAATAAGCCCAGTTGTTGCTTCATTCTCGAGAAAAAGCATAGCAACTAACGCGTATTCATGGCTTGCGGTTGGCTGGAATTGAACTCCAGACCATCAACTTGAGGTTTGGTCAGTTTAGACCATTCGACCACACAGTCAACCCGATAGCAAGGCCCCCTTATTGATTGATACTGTAACACAGGAAGAATATAGACGTCACGTGACTTGCCGACTGCGTATAACTCTCAGGGTTATACGCAGTCGGCTGCGCATAACCACTTCGATTAAAAAAACCTTATAAATTATCTTATCATCAGTGGAACTATGACTTTATTTAACAATAACAACAAAGTTTGTCTACCCACTATGTCCATTAGCACATTTGGGTTAGTTTCTTAATTACTTAACATTAATGTGATGGAATAGAAGGTAAAATGGGAAAATTGTGGCAAAGTAATCTGGTATCAATAGTATCATGAATCATGATAACCTTTTAATGCACTTTTCAAACTAAATAAGTGTATACATCACACAACTGTATGCATTACTTCTCATTCTTTAGCATAAGACTTGATAGCAATTTTAACATGTAAAGATTGGGGTGGGGGGGGAGTGGAGGGAAGAAGAAAAGATAACATGACATTTACAAAGTCAATTTAGGCAATGTCAACTACTTTGAGCACATTCACATACCCAAATTAAATAGCATCAGTAGATCAAATAGCTATGGCCAGCATGATGGACACTCCGCATTAAGACAGGCCTACATTGGTCTATATTACATTTAAAGGCCTGAAATACAACATTTGGGGCATTTGGCCACCGCCACATATTTTAGGTTTGTAGTACCTTAATTTCTTAAGTACGGTATATTTATTATATAATAATATAGACTAGTACTAGGCTAGTTTATTTACCCGTAGCGCCCCCATACGTTTTCACTCTGAAATCCTCCAATGTTTTTGGATATGCGTCAAAGCGTTTCAGCTTTTCAAATATTCCTTTCGCTTGCATATTGACCCCAAATCAGAGTGGTACACACCGAGCATAAAACATGTAATGTAAGTAAGGTGTCGTGTCGAGCTGTAGTAAAACCGGTTGTTGATACCATACACTTCCTCTTTTACTACACATGCGTAGTAGAACCTTACATTATCCGTAAACAAACGCAAAGAAATGTATTTAAATTTGTTCGAAGACCACCATGTCTATGTCCAAGCCTCACAATTGTTGACAGCTTTCAGTGGCGTAGAGGGAGTGTGCTGAGGGGGCGGTCCGGTGGCACTTCCTCCCCATATTTTGAGGGGTGTCATTTTCGGACACCTGCAGAGTTTTTATCGTGGAAGTGGCGGAAAAGAGCTTAACCCACGCGGGCGGTACTAAGGCTAGCTATACAAGTGACTGTTTCATTTATTACACGTTGTACAATTTTATTTCGGAATAAAGTAAAAAAAATAAAATAATTAAATTGTTGGAGAATGAAACATTAGGTACGTTGTATTTTGTAATAATCCTATGCGTGGGAGAATGAAACATTAGGTACGTTGTATTTTATAATAATCCTCTGCGTGGGAGAATGAAACATTAGGTACGTTGTATTTTGTAATAATCCTATGCGTGGGAGAATGAAACATTAGGTATGTTGTATTTTGTAATAATCCTCTGCGTGGGAGAATGAAACATTAGGTACGTTGTATTTTGTAATAATCCTCTGCGTGGGAGCCGGGGGGCTTTTTTTTCTCCGGGGGAGGGGGCGGGGTATTGGGCTGGTTTTTATTTATTTTTTTTTATTAGCGCTATAAATGGACAATGAGACTTAAAATAAATAGGATCATGTTCCGGGATAAGTCCATCCTCCAACCTGGCGGCGCCACATCGCTTCTGTTCGCAACAATCTACAGTGGCAAGGAGACCTACAAAATGCTACATCAGGTTCGTGCTGTCAATTCATCTTCTCATTTTCCTGCACGTGAGCCTGATCTTATTTTGATTTTAATGTCATTACTCTCAGCAATCTTTATTAAAACGAATCGTTTTCCCTCGTCAGAAATAATAGAAATTTAAACTTTAAAAAAAAAAAGACAAGTTTCATGTGCACGTGATTACACTATGCAAGTTTGCATTAGCGGAAGTGTCGTCACTAGGGTTGGTGTCAACCGATGCGGTAAACCCCAACAGACGAGGACTAGGTCTCGGGTAAAGTCATCGTTCAGCCCATAACTTGCCACCTCCCTTTTGCTCCTAGGGACCCCCGCCCCCAACCGCCCCTCCCATGGGCTTCCTTTAAGCTCTATTGTACCCGACCATACATACCCTAAATAACAATGCTTCTAGTTTTAATCCCTAAAGTTACATAGGACACCAGAAGAAAGCAATAGATTTTGGGTTAAAGGCATTTAATCACTGCAAAAAAATACGTTAAGTAAGTTCCTTGACCTTCTTCCTTATGGCCTTTTGACTTGCCGTGTCAGAGACTTTGAGGAACCAAACGATGTTAAGGATACTATGGTAATAATAATAAAAAAAGGGGGGGGGGCATGGGCGCCCGCAGAAAACTTTCTAGGGGGGGGGGCAAAAAAAATCGATTAACTTTCCAGGGGGGGGGGCAGAATTTTTTTTAGTAATGTTTTAATGTAGTTTTAATTTACTTTCTAGGGGGGGGGCAAAAAAAATCGATTAACTTTCCAGGGGGGGGGCAGAATTTTTTTTAGTAATGTTTTAATGTAGTTTTAATTTACTGTAGCGTATTTGTATGGTGAACGAACGGACAGGACATCAGCTTAGTTACTGTCTATTTATTTTCTTTATACTTTAATAAATTTTTTGTCTAATTTTGTCTAAATTTTTTGTATCCAATCAATCCAGGGGAGGGGGCAAGTGCCCCACCTTGCTCCTACCTGCGGGCGCCCATTGGGGGGGGGGGAGAGAGGGAGAGACTGCAATCAGGTAAGCAAAAAAAAGAAAAAAAACAACAACATTTGTTGCATTCATTTTTGTCGCCCCCAGGTTTTCCCACCTATGGGGCAAGGAATCACGCTCCTGTGGCACGATCGTTTGCCCCCAGGCGTGTTCACACCCACTGAGCCGGGCATGCCTGTCCCATGGGTGAACAGCTCATGACGTGGACGTCATGGTGGCTACCTAAGGCAGGTGGGATTTAAACCCGCGCCTCTCTCTGAGCTGTGATCGAGGAGTCAGCTGTGTCTGATACTACGGAATGGGTCAATTGATACTTTGTGTGGAAACGGCTACTTCGAGTCAGCTGTGTCTGATACTACGGAATGGGTCAATTGATACTTTGTGTGGAAACGGCTACTTCGAGTCAGCTGTGTCTGATACTACGGAATGGGTCAATTGATACTTTGTGTGGAAACGGCCACTTCGAGTCAGCTGTGTCTGATACTACGGAATGGGTCAATTGATACTTTGTGTGGAAACGGCCACTTCGAGTCGGCTCCGTGTGCGAGAGATTGGACCGTCTGTTCACCGGCTTGTACCACCAAAATGAAAGCTGTAGTTCTCAGACCTGCATTTCATTGTTTGTGTCTTTTGAAACTGTGAGCCACGCCACCACGCGGCTACACCAGTAATCTACCATTTACATCTTTTTATTCAATACATTATATTCACTTCATTTTTGTTCGTGCATGGCTGGCTGGCAAAATATTCGGACAACTAATTTACCCCCTTCCCGTCAACTTAACCAACTGATACGTGGCACAAAGCCCCCCCCCCCCCGCCACACCCTCCTCCAACCTCTAAGGGGAAGATAAACACAAATTCCCGATAACAACGCTAAATGAGATAGTTTAAAAAAAAATCAAAAAAAATGGCATCTGCCTTTGGTGGGTAATACTTTCCTTTATTTTGGTAAGGTTTTTGGTGAACTAAATCTGCGGCGTGAAGCGGCTGGGTCATAAGAATATTAATAGAGTTCAGGGGCGTCAACAAATTTGCAGTTGCGAGCATTGAGGGGTTGGGGTAGCACTACCTGGGATTCTTGTAAAGTGCTTTACTTGAATCCATGTTTTGTCAAATGTTCAGCCCTACTCCCCATTGCTCCATATTCCATTGTATCACGGATTTAGACGGGAAACGCTGTTTTTATGGGTTGTTTAATTTCATCAACTAATTAAGTTTTTTTTTCTAACCCTGGCTTCCTAGCCGAAAAGTCAGGCCGGCCACCTGCCTCCTCCATCCATCTCTGTGGCGCTACAGCCCATGTAGGGCTTTGGCCTGCCTCACCACTTCCTTCCACTCAGACCTAACTAATGTCTTTTTTTTCCAAGCTTGGACTTTCAGCTGCTGTAGATCTTTTTCTACATCATCTATCCACCTAAGCCTAGGTCTGCCTTTGAGCCCTTTTCCTCTTGGGTATTGGTGATGTACCTGCCACCTGCCTGCTCACCGTGTTATTTAGCCTTGGTCATCTTGGCAGGCCACCTGCCTGCTCACCGTGTAATATAGCCTTGGTCATCTTGGCAGACCAACTGCTTTCTCACCGTGTAATATAGTCTTGATCATCTTGGAAGACCACCTGCTTTCTCACCGTGTAATATAGTCTTGATCATCTTGGAAGACCACCTGCTTTCTCACCGTGTAATATAGTCTTGGTCATCTTGGCATGCCACCTACGTACTCACCGTGTAATATGGCCTCGGTCATCTTGGCAATCGAAGGAAGAACAAATACACCGCACTGAGTGGCACCAACCATTTTGATGCCCCCCCCCCCCATGTCCGTCGCATTAATACACAATGCCACCATTAGAAAAATCTCTTGTACACTTTAGAGATACAAAAAATAAAATGTATTTGTTCTTTTAGGCAGATGTAAACCTGAGGATTTAACAAGCTCAGTCCAAATAACACAATAAATGATACGTCATTGGTGTCTAGAAAACAACAACAATCCAATCAAAACAATTTGTAAACCAAAGATGTATAGGCAATAGCTAGAATGTGTTGTTAGCCGCCTAGGACATTTGTAGGATCTAATTATTTGCGAACGACGCGATTGGATAATGAATGACATGATTAGAGGGTGGCCTCATTTCAACCCATTATTACAGTGCGTGTCAGTTAAACCTGTTGTATAGCCTGCCGACTGAAATTTCTCATTTTCTGAATGTTTAAAAATAAAAAAAAATTCTTAAAGAGGGAATGTTCGGTTTAATGTGGACGTCGTCACGATCCATCTTCATTACTAACACGCGTCGTGATTGGCTGGGTGTTTGGGGGGGGGG